GAAGGAAGAGAAGGAAGGAAGGAAAGGAAGGAAGGAAGGAAGAAGGAAGGAAGGGAGAAAGACAGGAGAGGGGAGGGAGGGAGGGAGGGAAGGAAGGAAGGAAGGAAGGAAGGAAGGAAGGAAGGAAGGAAGGAAGGAAGGAAGGAATATGGTTGGAGACTAATCCAGGAGAGAAGCAACCTGGAATTAAGGAGAAACGACCTAAGAGTGAGGACAATTAATCAGGGGGACAGCTGGCCACCAGAAGTTCTGGGTTCTCCACCACTGGAGATTTTAAAGAAGAGATTGGACCGTCACTTACTTGATGGAGTATAGGTTCTCCTGCTCCAGCAAGGGGTTGGACTAGAAGACCTCCAAGGCCCCTTCCAGCTCTATTCCATCCTAAACATTCTAAAGAACCGGGGGTATCTCCCGTGCCCTGCACCACAAAACACCTAGGCCCGTTTTGGCCCAGGAAGGGCGAAGGGGTGACCGTAACCCAGGTGTGTATGCCATTCTAGGTCAGTCTCCTGCCCCTCCGGATTCCCCACGATGCAACTCTGGGGGGCTGAATTGAGCCCCAGGGGGGCAGGGGGGGACCTGGCTTACCTGCTCTTTCCTCTCCGCAGACAGGCGTCCCAACACGAACTGGCGGAGCGGCTGGTGGAGTGCCAGTATGAGCTGACCGACCGACTGGCCTTCTACCTTTGCGGGCGCAAGCCAGGTAAGGGAATGGCGGCCCCGGGGGTGGGGGGAGAGGGGGGCCAAGGTGGGTGTTGACTGGATGAGGGCAGGCAGGGAAGTTTGGGGAGGAGAATATGTGTAGCACGGGGTTGAAATGAGGGGTGCTCTTTGGTGCTCTCTGAGCTGGGTGGGTTTCTTGCAGACGTCTCGTGACCCAACTAGGTAACGTCATCAGAGCTAGAAGGGAGAGGGGTTTCCTGGGAGGAGGAGGGGAGCGAGGAGGAGAGGGAGGAGGAAGAGGGGAGGAGGGGGAGGAGGAGGAGAACTGAGGGGTCCTTGGTGCTCTCTAAGCTGGGTGGTTTCCTTGCAGACGTCTCATGACCCAACTAGGCAACGTCATCAGGGCTAGAAGGGAGAGGGGTTTGCAGAGAGGAGGAGGAGGAGGACTGTGGGGTCCTTGATGCTCTCTGAGCATGATAGTTCATATATAATCAGATTGGCTGATTATTGATCATTATTGATCAGACAATTATTATTATTGATCAGATGGGCTCAGCCATGTTTCCCCCCCCCTCCTTTTTTTCATTCAGATCACAAGAACGGGCATTACATCATCCCCCAGATGGCAGACAGGTAAGAGCTCCTCCCCCTCCCCTTTGACACCCCTCCTCCCCTTTCTGCCCTTTGAGGGAAGACATGCTGCCCCCTTGTGGCCATTCTGGGCCAGGCGTCGCCCACCTGGGATCCTGTCCCAAAATAGATTTTTCTCGTTTGGGCTGCCGAGAATTCCTCCCTTTTTAACCCACAAAAAAAGTGTTTTGTTCACGCAACCACATCAGAATTAAAAATAATAATAAAGAAAATCTCACACAACCACATCAGAAATATCCTGTCCTAAAGTGAGAACGACCTTCGTGGATTAATTGGTTTTAGTTTTCTTCCTGCTTTGCGTTAAAGGCAGTTTCTTTGATTCTTTAGGATTTATATCCTTTAGTCTTAAAGTGAGATTCAGTAAGGCAGAACTTTGCGGGGAAGTGAAATTATAATCCATGAAATGCAATTTATTGGTTATTCCTGTAGAAGAGGTGGAAGCCCTTACAGGCAGGCTGTCCTCGATCCCAGCGGATCCCAACAGTTCTGTTGCTAAGCTGTTAAACAGGTTTTGCCCCATTGTACAACCGTGCTTGCCACCGTTGTTAAGTGAATCACTGCAGTTGTTAAGTGAGTCACATGGCTGTTAAGTGAATCTGGCTTCCCCGTTGACTTTTGCTTATTGGTAGGTTGCCAAAGGGAATCGTGTGACCCCAGGACAGTCACAAATATACAACCCCCTGCGACTGTCACAAATATGAGTCACTTGCCCAGCGTCTGAATTTGGATCATGTGACCAAGTAGAATGGTGCAAAAGTCATCAGTGTTTAAAATGGTCATAAGTCACTTGTTGTAGCTTTGAATCATCACTAAATCAAGGGTTGTGTTGAGGACTACATTAGATGGATGGATGGATAGATAGACAGGCAGACAGGCAGACATAGACAGATTAGGACTACATTGGATGGATGGATGGATGGATGGGTGGATAGATAGATAGACAGAGTAGAGATAGATAGATAGATAGATAGATAGATAGATAGATAGATAGAT